AAAAAAAAAAAAAAAAAAAAAAAAAAAAAAAAAAAAAAAAAATTGTAATCGTTTTAAACACTTAAAAATAAAAAAACAGTAAGTTTAACAAGGCATTTAATGTAATAAAAACGTTTATTAATATTTTATTAATTTTTCCTTCCATAATTAGCAATAGGTGAGATTAAAAAAGAAAAAAATTATATTCGCTTTGGGTCAAATTTTTGATACCCACCATCCGAAACCAATGTATAAAACTTTCCCATTTGCTCATTGTTGATTCAGGGAAACATATTCGTACCAAGCTTATAAATTTGATTGATTGTTCGTTAATTGATGTTAATTATGTCCGGCCGAGTCTTTACTGTGTACTGTACTTGGAACCGCGTCTACGATTTTCACCTAAAAAAATCTCATTATAGATTATGGGTTCATATGGCTTTCAGCCAGAATCATGTATATATATACATATATCAATTCTTGACTTTTTATTTCAAATTTCGCTCTTTTTAGTGCTTCAATAACAAGCGGACGGACGGATGTATGGATATTGCATTTTTATATTAAAATAAAAAATATCATTACGTGTCGAGACTGATCATTGATGTCCACTTTTTTGTATCACATAAAAGCAAGGAACATATTTTGTGTAACGTCGTCATAATTTTTCGATGGTGGGCATAAAAATGAAATTAATTTTATGAATATGTGAAAAAACTTTTTTTTCTCTTTATTTATTTTTAGGCATTTCAACTAAAACTAAAACCAATTTCTTTAGAAAAAAAAAAAAAAGATCATTTATATTTATAATAATTAATTCTAGGAGAAGAGCAGTTTTTAAGCAAATTTACATAAAATATAAAAGAAGAAATAATAATAAAACACAATATTTAATTAAATAACAATAACTAACTTGTAATGCTTCTTTGAAATTTTTCATTTCACGTGATAACAAAGCAAAAAAAAAAAAAAAAGATGATAAAAAGAATTAATAATAATAATATAAACTATAATATTATTTAAAATCTATTTAAGCTTTAAAAAAAAAAAAAAAACATGTAAATGTCACTCGCAAATAAAATATGTCAGTTTACCAAATTATAAGGATAATAATAATAATAATAATTACAATCATAGTAATTGCATAAGTTATAAAATAATTATTGAACTAATATTTTATATTATGATTTAATTAACATGTATTTGTAATGAGAAAAGTTCCGTTTTTTTTTTTTTTTTACCATTTTTTTTTTTATTTTTTTTTTTTTTTTTTGTATTAAAAAAGTGCAATTATTTATGTATTTTTTTTTTTATTGGTAAATAGCGGTACTTAAAAAAGGCGATAACTAAATGTCAATTATTTATTGTATAATTTTAAAGAAGATTTAAATTTATTTGCGTTCCTTATCTTTTCGCCTTTATTTTCTTTCTTCTTTGTAATAAATATTACATAATTATTTATTTCTTTTACAATAATATTCATTCTGATTAGCAATTTTAATAATCAATAATAATCAATAATAATAATGTTAATAAAAATAAAAATGAGAAAAAGAAAATCTGAACGCGTTATACAACTGTACAGTAATGATGAGGAAAAGTTATTTATGTTATATATATATATATATATATATATATTGATTGATATTTATATATATATATATATAAATATCAAAACTTCTCGTTAAAATTTTGCTTTAATATATTTAAGCAGACGCAAGCATTCTTTATTCTTTTTCTTTTCCTTTTCCTTTTTAAGTAAAATATCAGATTTTCTTTTTTTTTTTCTTTTAATAACTTAGAAAACTATTAAGAGCCTTTTTTTTTTTTGAATGATTGGTTATTCAAAATTATAATCAATAATTGAAAATTTCTATTTTCTGTTTTCATTCATTCTTCTCAATAATAAAGGTCGATAAAATAAATTTTTTTTATTTAGGATTTGTTTTGCCTGTTGATTCCTAATACTCGCAATAGGTTTACGTTTTCCAATTATTTTGACGACTATTACTGGGCCCTGGAGCCTGCGGTGGTATCATATCTAATAAATATTGTCGCTGCAATTCGGCAGCTCGTTGTATGTCGGCTAATGATGTCGTTTGATTTTTGGATGACGTTGCCGTTGAAGACGAAGATGATGAAGCCGAACTTTTCTTATTGGTAAAGGCTAAAAAAATGTAATATAAGCGCAGTTTTTTTTTTATTTATTTATTATTTTTTTGCATCATCTGCTCATAGACTATAGAATTCTTAAGTAACGTACCTGCTACTTGAGCAGCTTGAGCCATAGCCATTTGATAGGAGTACAATAAGGGAGTGAACTGCATCATGTGTTGAGGGTTCGTGGCCAAGCCTTGTCCTAATGCTATAAAACAAAATTAATAGCAAAAAAATTTTTTTTTTTTTTTTTTTTTTTTTTTTTTGAAAACAAAAATATTAAAGATTTATTCGTCTATTATAAGTCAATCTCGAAAGTTTAGTGCAAGCGTAGAATGTAGATGAACTCATAATGAACTGAAAGAGAACATCTACTAGATGTACAAATTTAAGAATATAATAAGCATTTTTATCAATTCATAATGTTAAAATATAAATATGTACGTATAGATGCATAAGAGCGACAAAAGAAGAAATAAAGAAGAAAATATACGTGTTCCACTTGGGTGGACTTCTGCAATCTACCAATATCTACCAATATTATCTTAGGTAATTGCAAGCAATAATGTTCAAAGTTGTATACTCCGACGGCTTTTTCTTTTCTTTTTTTATTTATTTATTTATTTTTTTTTTTGTGTATAATTTCTTGGTACTAGTGGTTGATACGACGTTTGATACGATTCAATCGATTTTTCGGATTTGGTATAGAAATTTTATTAAGCAAAAAATTAATGACTTAACGTGGCTTTCAATTTCATGGTTACCTCACAGTTTAGAGAGAATCATGAATTCATGAACATATGAATTCATAGGATAGATAGACGCATGGACGGACAAGTTGAAATTGAATCCGCTACGCACACCATACATATATGTGTATATATTCGATTTGCATATACACAGAATTATCCATCGGAAAAATTTATAGGTGGGTGGATGGGCATAAAGGTATAGTTCGAGAGAATTCTACAGAATTGCAAACACGCACACACTCTTCATTAAGAAAAAAAGTGTAGGCTTTAAGCTAACCGGAATTACATGATCGATTGCCGATAAATAAAACTTATATAGACGGTAGTGCAGTTTGGTAGAGACTTTCAAATACTTATGGGAGGCAATAGATAACGAAAATGTCCCAAAAAGAATGAATGAATTTTAGGTAACTGCGCTTAAGAGAAATTATGGAGGGGAGAGAGAGAGAGAGAGAGAGAGAGAGAGAGAGAGAGAGAGAGAG